TTATTATTATTATTATTATTATTATTATTATTATTATTATTATTATTATGGGGCATAAAATAAGTACGAAAGTGCTAGGTAGGAAACAACACCAAGCCAAGGAAGCTAGCTATCTCTATGATTCTCGAAATAACCTTTATTTTAAAAAAAATGTAACTGAAACTTACTAGTTGATGAGATCTGGATTTTTTTGGAAAAGACTTTCCAAACAAAGGGAATCGTTGAGGACATCTTCAAGTTTGGTGTCCTGCCAGTAGTGTGATAATGGAAATTAGTTGAGCTTACCGGGTTATCAAGATGAAAATCTCGATAAAAGAGATAAGCGTTGGTTTCTGAAGTCAAGTTAGACATGGCAAATGCCTCAGAAGGGGTGCGTTCAAAACTAAATCGAAACAAAGTTTTAAGCGAAAGGTATAAGAAATCAGAGGTCATAATAAAGGCTTTGGACAGAAAGATCACAGAGTTAGACTAACATTCGTACATGAAAGACATAATTGCAATGTTTAAATAGGGGAAATAAAACAACAAAATTGTGCAGTTTGTTGTGACTCCATTGAGCACCTGACACCAAATGAAGACATCAAAGGGAATATATATGAAATTTCATAAGATAACACGACGGTGAGGCTAGCAGGTCAGTAGAATTGCATGCAATCGTGATGAGCTTAGGATGACGATCATATGTTGAAGATATCGATAATTCTAATGTTCGAAAAACAACATATTGCCAAAAACGACATAATGCGCTGTCGAATTAGTGAACAAACGTGAGTCAAAATAACAAGGTTGATTATATTTAAAACCATAGTTACACAAACACTCAGTGAAAATGGCAAAATAAAAGTTAATGTGCCCTTTCCCCAATAATAATAGACGGGGATGGTTTTTTTACACTAGTAAGATTCAAGGCTCCTTAGAAATCTTACGATCAATATTCAAGCAACTTTAAGTAAAACTCAACGACGATAACTATTAAAATTGAGTAAAATTCTGAGTGTATGAGAAGAAAAAATAATCACGGGAAACTGTATACGGGAAGAGGACCAACATGTTGCCGTTAGTGATTAAATGAAATGAGAGCATTAAAATTGATGACATCAAATATCTGTCACGTTAACAAAACACAACAGCAGATTAATACACACTGTATATTACCGAATCTTTAAAATGGTGTATAAGTGACTGAATAAAGTGTTACCGAATTAAATCATGGAGTACAAATCATTATAATGCGCATAATTCACAAACTAGCAAAAACTCAATTTTTAAATCTGCTTGTGCCTTTGACGAATCCACTGAAAACCGGACTCATCGAAATGAAAAAACGTATAGAATAAGATTAGGATAATTGCCAAAAAATCGACAATCAAATTTTGTAAACCTGATTGACATTAGACTATTAGGAATATATTCGCAATAGAAAAAATCATAAAATAAGTATATCACAAAAATATCACGTCTAAGACACAAATAAGATATAATGAATGCCGAAGGAAAATTACCCAAATAACTTATTTTCCCGGCGTGCAAACGCCGGCCAGAAATGAATGTTTTCAGGCTATTTTGACCAATTATGTGATCCAATAAAAACTGTTATGTACGAAACATTTCATTCATAGTACTTTTTCCCAAAAAATGTCTATTTAATAGCAACCTAAGTCACGTCCAATTAAAATTCGAAGTAAAAATTAAAGTTAGGTCTTCTTTTGTTTTTTACTCGAAATAATAGAACTAGGGAGTCACAGTAATATAATTGGAATTTAATCTAATATCCTCTCAAGGCCTAATTAGCAAAACACGGAATTTGCTTGTTGTTTAGCTATCCGACGTTTAGATGTGCGTCATTTTATACATCAGTTTGAAGATATTAATGTGTGGTATTCTATATTGGTTTTTCATTATTCTGTTATAAAGATCTACATTTTGAAGTTAGGTTTTACAAAACTAATTCTAAAAAATTTAAATTTTATCCTATGGAAGATTGGGGTGTGTATATCAATTATTTTGTTTTTGTATTCAGATGTTGTTGTCACTTAACTGCCAAATATTTTTCCCGTTTTTTTTTCAACGCAATGCGTGTTCAAGCACAAACACTTTATGTTATCCTAGCATTAGGGTAAATGTAATTGATATTCTATCTAAATGCAATGGCTTTGAAGGTATAAAATGTATTGTAATGCAGCTTGTCACGCAAGTACACATTTGTTGAGTTCTCCACGTTTCGAATGCTATATTAATTCTTTTTTTACAATGTTTAAATATAAGCAGGCATAAATCTATTAGTGCCTTTTGCAAATCGCTTTGACAGGTTTCTAAAATTTATACCCAGAGTTAAATCATGCTTTGATTATTGGTTCACAAAATAAAATTTTAGCGTCGAGTTGCTACAAGCAAATCTCTAATTTCGCATGAGTTTTACCAGTTGCATTTGTTTAAATTAATTTGCAGTTGGGTGACTTTCACGCCATAATTCAAGCATTCACTTCATGTTTTTTTGGCTACAAACATCACCAGAGATTATATATAAATAGCATTTTTATGGCGTGAAATAAAGGCATTAATTTAGAGAATATGAAGTAAATGCAGTTATGCTGACCATGCATTTGTTTCCTATCTTTTTAAGCTTCAGGAGAAATTCAGCATGCGAAAAACGCCTGAACTCTGCTATTTTTATTCAAGTGGCAGCGTGTTAAGCTGAGAAGATAGGCAATCATTTTTGGCCTATGTTTGTCTCGTAAATACAACGAGGTACCATGTGTGGCTCTACTTATCGAGCACACAAATTCGTAAGATGAACTAATCTTAAGTAAATACAATATGCAAGCGATAATTTAAAGCTTGGTCCAATTACCACGGGATGCATGTATTTGCACACTGCTGACTCTAGTGTTGCGCGAATACGTCGATCAGAGCTCCTCAACCTACTCTGTTGGATAATGAGCTTACGTGTTCACGACTGTGAGTACAATCACCGTCAGAGCAGACGGGGTTTACTTGGCTAAAATAAAGACCGACTACTCAGTGCTAACCCTTTTTACAGTCATTCACATTTACTTAGTGATAATCGAGCGCATAGTAAGGTGAACCATAAACCCAAGGACAAGCGCTCATGGGCACTATAAGTTAGCAGATACTCATCCAAAGGACGTCAAAAATACTTATTTTCATATCCTAAAACCAGTATTTGACACCTAATTTGGACTAGGTCGGTGGAAAAGGCGCCCGAGGCAGAAGCCCAAATATCCCAATTGAGTGTTGTACGTTAAGTGTAAACGAGCATACCATAATTTTAACAAAAAACGACGCGAGTGTGACTAAAATCAAGAATGCAATTTAGGATTGGGTAAGGCAAAGAATGACTACAAATGCCGACAATATTAACACAGAAGTGGTTTGAAACTTGGTCGGGTTAACCCCTTAAATTTTCAATCCACTTCTTGTGGAAGTTTTTGGACAATTTGGAGACCACGAAAAGGACAATCACCAGGTCTCGGCGCACGGAGAATCTAAAAAAAAAGGAAAAAAAACGTCGAGTTAAGTTAAGAGAATGTGATTTAAGATAATCAAGCTACTCTGCATAGGCCGAAAATCTGCCTTTTCACAAAGCGACTGGTCAGTTCTCTTATGAGCTTTAGGTGTGAAAATAAACGGCAACCAGCCAACCAATGAGGACTAACAAGGTTTAAGATTAGACATAAAAACGGGTAAATTTGTTCGATCAGGCATCACAGTGCAAGTGTCCAACCTACCCCGGACATCGAGTGAGTTCAGTGATGGTGCGAGAAATGGGCACTTCCACCATCTGCTTCGCCACCTTCGTGTCCTCGAAGTAAACCTAAAACGACGCGGGCAGAGCAGAATGAAACCCCAGCATATATCTACTAAAGAAACGGAGACTCCACGGGAGTTAATACAACGATAAAACTAACTATAACACCGGGCAACACCTACGCATTTTTACCTACGCGATACAGCAAATGCAGCTGTCCACAATCACATCACTGGCTCATACCGCCGTCTTCAAGGTTGTCATATCACGTGGTTTCCGTGTTCACGATGCCGAATAAGTTAAAGTCAAACTTTTCCAAGGCTGCGATCCAAAGAGTGGCCCCTTGGGGTGGAAATGATACGATGAAGTGATACAGCAAAAACTCTGCGGTGGACAATCACCCATTTGCAAAATTCTCAACCAGAAAGATGAGAATTTAGGGTTATACAACAGCAACAGTACAGAATCGGATGTGCAAAGCGCCCAAGCACACTCTGGCGACAAAATTACTAAACATGGTAACCACGGCGCCGACAATACCTTGACACGGCGTGTCCAGGATTGCTTGCTTACCTCGATCTCATCCTCCGACGTGGTGTAGGCCTTATCCTTGTCCCATGGCGGAGGGTCGTTGGGATTGAGGACGTGTTTTAGACACTCGCGGATCCTAAGACCACGAACAAAAGGTGTGCTTCAATTAACGCCTGGCCAATGTGTACACGTGCCGTGCTGGAAGAAGCATTTTCGTGAAATCACAGCGCCGAAATCGGTACTAGTTAAAGGTTACTTTCAAGTCCATTCTTAAAACACTACGGTGACCGGCAGGACCACAATCAGTGCAATCAAACATCTCAGCACAAACCACCAGCCCGTGAGGTTGCGATGAAGGCGGACGTACGTGAGGTATTCTGCGGCGTCTTGCACGAAATCGGTTTGACTGAATTCCGGATACATGAAGAGCACAGGCCAGTGAATGAGATTCATGTGATCAAAGGATATCTCCACACCGGCGTGGTCAGGCAGCCCAACAGGTGGAAGGTCGAAATCAACGCGAATGCCTCGAGCCTGGGGAAGGGAACAAAAGGAACATGCAGTTTACAAATCTCTTATAAGGTAAAATTGGGAAGAATTTCACATCTTGGGTTCCACCGGGTCACCCAGTACAGGCAATGGTTTAAGGGAACCTAATACTTAACGATAGCTTACCGCCAGTTGCTGGAAGACGGTGGATAACTTTGCTTGGCTTTCCTTAACTGCCGACACATTTTTCGACTCTTCGGCGGCCTTGGTTTCCTAGAAACGAGAGGCTACAATGACAAGAGTGTAAGGTTGATGCGCTTACCGCCAGTGCAAAAGCCTTCGCTTTCAATTCAGCCAAAACTTCATTGGTTGGAGCCACCTAGAAAGGCGTGAGTTGGGGACACGAGGTACAAACTTTTAGGCCGGCTTCACACATCTCAGTTGCTTCGGTGGGTTTCTTGAGTATGAGCAGGGATTTCGCAGCCTGAATGTACGCTTTTAAGTGACTGGGGTCCTGTTTGATGGCCCATTTACAGTCCTTGACGCAAGAACCGTGATTTTCTGGAAACAAACATCACGAAAACACATTTATTTAAATCATTATCAGAGACAGGAAAACAGATTGAACAAACCAAGACCGAACTTTAAGTGTCAAAGGTCGACTGAAGTTCCGATTTAAATAGAAACCCTATTTACACAATTGCTGAGCTAAACTCTGCCATGACAAAACAATGATTGTCTCTAGCGCAAAGTTTTTCTTACAGATCTTGCAAAATTACCCATACACCACTGGGTACCAATTATGAGTTTCTAATGTTTTAAAAAAATGGTGGCGTAAGCACTCACAGTACACTTTATCTTGTATCTATTATCATTTAAGTGATTAACGACACACGTGTCTTCTATCAACCGGCCTTATTTGGCTAGGACCAAAAACAGTCATCGCCTCCATATGTTTGCGAGTTGAGGATAAACAGGCAGGCGCAAAGGTGTACACGGGATGCATGACCTACTCAGTAACTTCGGGAGTATAAGTACAAAATCAAGGCAATTAAAAATCAGTTGCCTATGTGAGGGTTTCAGTCCAAGCTAGCCTTAAACAGCCTTTAATGAAACCATTACAAAAGTTCAAAATTTCATTGAACAGAAAATGAATCCTAAAATATCAATTGTTAGTATCCTATCCTAAAGTCAAACTTGTCCTGCCTGCGTACACAATAGATAATTTATTGAAACACGTCTGCAACCTACTCCGTAAACCATTAGCAATGCCTCGATTAGTGTAGAGAATGGCAAGAAGTTTTTTGTCGGTAGGTTTGGCAAGTATTCCTCCGGTGTAAGCGGATACAGCCTTCTCATAGTCTTTCTCCTTTACGTAGTAGTTTCCTTCTTCCTTGAAACTTTCAGCGTTTGCGTTAGGGTCTTCACTTTCGTATTTCAGAGTTCGTAACGCCTCATAGGCTGGATTTCCTTCCATTTCCTCGGCGGATTTAGCAAAGAATGGATGACTGAAAATGTGCTTTTCCTCATCGGCAGTGAACGTCGATTTTGGAGCATCTTCCACAAGGTTACCATCCATCTCTACGCAATAGAAAACGCGAAGAAACTGCAAATAAGCCAGCATTATAATAATACAATGTAGAATCTGGGAGTGAAACAAAAAATTATTTCAGGGTCCACTTCATGTCCCAAAGAATATTGCATATAAAACACTATCCAAGCACCAAAAATAAAATCGATAAGTTAATTATTTTGGGACTTAAATGCCAATTTCACTGCAAAGTAGTCATCACATTGAAATACACATTGTAAAAATTACTTAAAAAAGGTACGCGTTAAATTACATGCACAACAGTAACGGTAGTTATACAAAACACAAGGATATAAAGGCTGGTACATACTGTCGGCAATGCTGAAGTCTGGATGGACATGCGACAACTGAGATGGCAGTTTTTAGGGCGTTTATAATAATAAGGACAAAATTCAAGCCCATTTAAAAACCTAAATAGATTTAACAACAATACACTATAGTTTATTACAAAATGCAAGTAAAGAAAAGATGTAAAAAGGCGGAAGACAAAACATTAATATAAAGGCACACCTCTGCGATAATAACACACACAAATACACACGAAGTGATTAATTTGATTAGAGCGCGTTTGCCAACATATTCACACTGCGAACATGGGGGCACGCTATTTTTTCACACCTTCTACCTTTATCTTAATTACATGAATTTTTTTCTGTAAATGCAAATTATTTTAAACTAATGCATTCTATATTAACCGATTCTTATTCATTCTAACATTTCATTGTGTGCGACTGAGTGAGAATTGGGAAGAGTGTTTATCCATTTGGCAAAAACTACAAGTCTTTGGGGTCACCTTGAAAGTAATTCTCTTGAAATGAATGATCAAATTCATTATTCCAGCGTCTAATATGCAGTCGTGGGTATCATGCATTGTTTTTAGGGAAATTCTGATATGCAAAATACCTCGTTTTTATCACAAAAGCACCATAAAATTGAGGTTTCAAAGAGCAGTATTTGTAGACTTTCCTAGTCCTAGTGCGCAGTGGGTATGCAAAACAGACCTTGCGTTTTTAGCACATTAAATGACGGAACCGTCCATTATGCGCTGTCTAGCAGATTCTCCTATACTTATTGCGTTGCCAGTTACATTGTGCGTCACATATTTCCGTCTTCTTTTACAGTTTTTGATCTGCTTCCTTGACCTTTCTTTTACTTAAATGCACAAAAGTGGCTGAGTTTGATGCGATCAAATATTGCATCGCCCCGCAAAATGCTGAAAATCTCTTATAAATTACTACACTATGCTTGAGATTGCCATTTGTCAAACGAAGAAAGCAACTTTTAGACATATACGTCTGATGTATTTGTTGTGGTGTTCGTATTCGTATTGTCCCACCTAAAATGTTTTATTAAAGCAGACTTTTTGGTTGATTTCGTTGATATTACCGAACTGTTTCATGTTTTATGTTTTAAACATTATTCGTATTGTGCGAGTCGGTTCCTTGCCCATTATTTCATAGACAAAAAATTCAGCCTTGCACTGTGGCTGATCTCTGCCCGCAAATAGGACTACGAGTTAAGTTCAATTTGTACTTCCTTTAGCTGCGATACACCATAGCATCTGCGTCATATTCAAGAGCCGACTCTACGATGTCGTTGAAACCAGCGGTGAATCTGCTACCAAGACCACGTACCGTGTAATTTGCTAAAAGGAGTCTCAATTTGTGACCTCTAACACAGCTAAGGTGTTGCCATTACATCAGTGTGGAACAATCTAATGTTTTGATCAGTAACTCTGGTAATCCATCTCCCCACGTGTCAAAATCAGCCAATTTACATTTTTTCCATCGCAATAAACGGTGTCAGGAAATAAACATAAATGTATGAAACCCCAAACACTAATTATTAAAATCGGTATTCGACGGTCCCATTCAATATCTTTTTAAGTGCTTCTATGTTCCCTGATAATCGTTAAATGGCTAAACTACTTTGATACAGCGCAATTAAAAACTTGTTTAAGTAATTTTTACCCACTGCTAAGAATACGCAGTACAAATCGCAGTGTTCACCACAACCGTTATTAGTCACGATTAGTATTATCTAATCGATTAGTAACCTTCTTCTGTTTTCGTCTCGTTTTCTAACTGCACCTAGCCGGTGTGATCAGAAGCCTAAAAATATTTTCACCTTGCCCTTGTTCTTTTCCTATCCTAAACCTTCCCATCTGCTGCGTCGATTCATCGACATGCAGATAGTGCAGATTATTCCGTGAGGTTGCCAGACGTTGTGGTTGCAGCAACCTCCGCACAAAGCTCACATGCACAGCAATTCACAGCACTTAAAATTTAAGAAGATAGACGGTAATAATCTCTCTAGAACAGGTAACCAAAAACTCAAATCCGTTACAGCCCTACGCATGTGTTGTCTCCTTAACACCCTCTCCGTATATAGGAACTTTACCAATGTCTTACTTTCCACCAACTACTGGCAAATCGAGGAAAGAACCGGGAAGTGACAGGGTTTGCCCTACCATGTGGCCTCTTTGAAATCTGCACTATCTCTAAGTGCCTGACCAACTTGGCACTACCATCGTACGAGTCACACGGACAGTACTGCATATCCCTCTCCATCAGAAATGCCTGATGCGCCCTATTTGATTTTACCGAACGGGAGATGCTAGTCAACCTTGCAGAAACCCTGCATGGGTACCGGTAAATATGGTTGAGTGTCACTTTTTGCAGAAGTCAATCAAGTTCCTTGGTCATGTAGTGTTGGAATCTGGACACTTCGAAGGCCCTGACGAAGTGAACATGCTCGAGAAATGGTTCACACCCTCCTCAGAAGACGTGGTTTAATTGGCCTTGGGCCTAACTGACTGCTATTGCTTCTACATGCACGTTCACAACCAGATTATCTACCGACTGCAGCCGGTGAAAGGGAATGGCAGAACATTTGACTGGACAACAGAATGCGACGATGCTTTCTCGCCGCTTAAGTAAGCACTGACCACAGCTTTCACGTTGTTCTTTTTCCCTTCTCTTCATCCCTGATACAGACGCAAACAGTTAATGCAACGGCGCAGTTACGTGTATACGCGGAGCCAATGACACACGAACAGAAAAATCTCCTGATGTGCTTGTAAAACGCCCCAGCTGATCTTGATTTCCAACTGGAATTCCGGTTGAGGAATAAACAACCAAATTCGGACGCCCTTTCTCATCTTCCACCTCGAGAATCCAAAGCCAATTACGAGAAGTGACTCAGCTGACCTCAGCGACATCACCATACAGTCAAACACCATCACTTGGACAAAACGTTAAACAGATGATTTGGATTAGATCGTAGTCCATGATCGAACGTTACATGGCGAACGCGAACCGATGGTTAAAGAGCTTAGTGGTCAAAGTTAGGGGTTACACTTAATCTGGTCATTCTGGGGCAAGCTGCTCTTCCACGACAATGTCCTTTATTTCAAGTACGACTGCAGCTTCCAAACCCGTCTGATATTTCCCCAGTCAGCGGCACAAGCCGTTTCTATATACCCTTACAACCAGCTGAACCACGCTGGATAAGCCAAACTAAACAATACAGCATATCAACGGATGGTGTTATAGACGGATGTTCCAATACGACCGTCTCTAGCTCAAAGAGAATCGCGTCGCTGCAATAACTGCTGAAGATCTCCGGTGGGGAAGCGCTTTGACCATTTGCCTCGGACGTAACGGATGGCCTGCCGTAGTGTGTTGTCCAAGGCCGTTTCCCGTTTGATTTCGAGAATTAAAACCGGCGGCGCACGAACTGTTTGAGATATCTGTTGTGTGGTACCCTCGTTGACGTAGATGGCGGCATCTTCCTTGGAGGTGGGCTGGTTACTGATGAGCCGTGATGGGGCGTCTGCCGGCACAAAATCCTCTCTTCGACGGTACTGGATTTTGAAGTCATAGCCCAGTAGAATAAGTGCCCACGCTTGCATCCCACGTAAGAATCCCAACCAGACACACAGCCCCAATGATATCCATTAAATTGTTGTGAATCTTGTTTATTCACACCCCTTAACCCGGTCGCTACACCTTCGACACAGGGTACTCCTTTTCGCCAGCCGCGCGGATCCTGAACTCCCCCCTCATTGACACGGATATTTATCTTAGATTATCCTCACACCTAGGTCTCAATGTTAGCGCATATACGACTCATACATCCGAGATATAAATACACACGCGCAAACCCCACGCACGCCACAATGACACCAACGCGGTTGAGCTTTGAATTAGACGGTTGCGTCCACGTCCTCTCCAGTCTTTTTCTTCATCGCGGAAATCAGGGAAGCGTAATAGGACAAGGGTTAATTCCGTGGCCCCACCGTGGTTCAAGACCGTTTCCCAACCATGAAGCCTGCACAGTCACTAACGCGATCAAGTCGGGCTGGGTATCTCACCACGACGATCTTCAACTATGTACTTTACGATCGAGGATCGAACATCGAAAGCCGACACTTCAAGGTTGTGTAAAAGTTTCCACAACCTAATGGACAATAGCGAAACTGAAATGACCTTCAGGCGCACTTCCAGCAACGACATCTGAGACCAACTCTTATTCCACTGCCTGCTCGCATGCTGAGTGCGGGACCCACTAGTCTACCGGTTTCTCTATTGCACTCACGAACTCCGGACTGCCTTCGATTTGCAATTCTCGCCCTCTTGCCACTCACTTTAACTGTCTCGCTCCCACACCCACCTCCTCACGCGCACTGCTCTTCCGTACGCCGACCACCGCGTCATTCCCCTTACCTCCCAATTCCCGCTCTCCGGAATACCCCTGAATAACCGACCAGTATGCGTCCATACTATAGCTGTCTGCCTTTTGAAATTAAGATTCTCCTCTCGGTGTCACTTGTGTGGGTGACCTGATGCATGAAGGCTACGAATCTACACGTTGCAGTTCAGCTGGCGTGCTAAAACCCATTATCTTCTCGATTAGGTGGCAACCGTTTTAACCGTATTCTCTTCAGTTTCAGAATAAGTAATTTGACTCTCTCTTTCCTTGTGAGGTAATCGTGGTCTGCGTCAGTCAAATGCACTGGCTTCTCGATGAATGTAGATGGGTGTTGGGCTGCTGACATTCAGTCCAGCTAGGAATGCGATGGAGCTGTTTAAGGAATCGTGATGGCTACTAGTAACCCAGATCAACGCCTGAACGTGGTTGCCAAAAACGGGCTTTTGGAAGGTATATTAAACGATTGACGCATGTATTCTTATTCGGATATGCTGACCTGGGGGGACAAGGAGGTGAGCCTTACTCCCTTATAACCCAGATAATCAATAATCAGCATTGTCGACGTGCAAACAGGAGACACGCGATGACAGACGTCGCCAGTTATTACATTAAGTGTCGTAGCTCTGAGCTAATTTTGGGTTTTTGAGTAGTAAGAACCAGGGAGGCAAAGATGTGAATACCCTTCACCTTAGCATTCCACAACACGATCATCTTCATTAATTGCTACGACCAACAGATCTCAACAAACTCACACCGTACTACCACTTCTTAGTAGTGTTATACCAGCTGTAAACGTTCGAAATCCACGGCATTATCGAAATGTCTACATATCTCGTCGTGTTCTGGAACATTTTCACTCGATGCCACGGTGCTTGAATCCTTTGACGACGATGAAAATAAGGCTAAAGTGTGTTTTGTATTGTGGAAATCCCAAGACGCCTGCGGAGTGTGTGGTACCAATGCTATAAAGTTTATTAATTTTGAAAAAGTCCTCTTGGCATTCGGTCAGATACTTTTACAACCGTGTTAAATAGGAAATAAGATGAAACGAAGACGCCATTGTCGGTTATAAATTGTTTACCGTCTTCTCTTTTTAATATTGATTTTCACTTTAAAATACACAGTTACTGATACGTATAAACACGATGAATGTACACGTACGCACCTACGTGCATCTCCACATGCGTGCATGGAGAAGAGAATGCTAGAATCATAAAGGTTCGCGTGTGTCTAAGTAATTCAACCTCTGCCTGAATCGAATCAAATAGTCAAAATAAGCGTCATTATCATCAGCATAATCGGGAATGGCATCACAGGCTTGCACGACTCGGAGGCTAGCGCTGGGACGAGGGCGACCGGCCGCGTTGGCGCAGCGGTGATCGCGCGGCCACGAGACGCCGACGCAGTGACCCCGAGTGTCGAGGACTGTCTGGAGGTGGCGAGGGGCGTCGAAAGACGCGCGGGTCGCCACACGACTCCGTGACACGCGAACGCTGGCGACCGTACGACGCCATTGGTCGAGCCGGGCGACGCTCTGATTGGTCAGTCCTCGCGTTATCGCCTGGAGGTGGCGGCGGCGGGGGAGGAGGAGGAGGTGGTGGTGGTGGTGGGCCATCAGCCGGCCCAGGTGAGTATCGATCCTCGGGTTTACTCGTGAACTTGTCCACCAGCCACTTGGGGTGCCGCGTCCACTTGATCATCGTCTCCGATGAGCGATAGAGGAAGATGAGCTTGGAGAACAACAGCTCCTCCAAATGCAGTTTGCCGTTCTCGCGCACCAAGTAGATGTCGTGGCACAGATTGAGCAGCCTGTCCACGTGCGGCAACTCCTGAAGCGATATCTGGTAGGAAATGTCGCTGTAGATCATTCGCAGCAGCCTGCTCGCGACAAATATGTACGCCGCGTACATGCCAATTATGCCGTAGGAGCTGAAAATCTTCCCCAAGATGTTATCCGAAACCCGCTCATTGAAGATGATGATGGAGAAGCTGCGGTTGCGAGAACGGTAGCTCATTTCCGCCTCGGTCAGGTTGTTGATACTGCCGTAGCACGGTGGACCAGCGATCCCCACCTCCTCCATCACCCACCACTGGCGTGACGAGACGTCGTCCTTCTCCAGGGAGACGCTGACGTTAACGTAGGTGTAGTCCTTGGCTAGGTTGCTCGAGGCATTGCGAAGGTTGTCTTTCTGTGCAAACAGAAAACGCGGGAAGGCCAGATCAATTTGGACGGAACTTTTGCTGGACCGGTTGTTCCAATTCTCATCTAGGACCTTGTGGAGTTGTTGCCTTTCGGGCATGGACAAGGGTCGGTGGAAGTACTGCTCTACGCGCTGCGATCCCGAGTCGATTGGCCTTGAGGGTCTAGAAGCCAATGAAAACAATCAACCAATGAGAATGGGTCAACATGGCGAACTCAAAGCGCACTCTACGAGCTTAGGGAGGGGACCTGCCTTCTGCACTGCAGGTGAAAAGTCATGGTCATCTGGGACTGCGCGTCGGCCAGCTCCGACATCAACTTGAGGTACATGGGTGGTGTGATTGTCCAAACACGCTCGGACGTTGTGTCGAAGGTCACGTTGCTCAGGTCCTCGCTTTTGAAGTTGTCCACGAAGCCCGTGGTGCCCTGTAGGTAGAAAAAATCGTCAAGGATGAGCGTAAAAGCGACTTGGAGAAGTGGAAGGCAGAACTACCTGGTCCAGAACGTTGCACTGTCGCAGCTCCGAGAGGAACGAGCTGTTCACGTGGAGGAGGTTGTTTTCACGCGAAGTGAAGAAGTAGAGTGCCTGAAAAGACAGCATGGAGGCATTAAGCACGTCGTCCACGATGAATGGATAGATGGACGGCGAATCAATTGAAGCACAACCAACTCACCGGGAAGCCGCCGATCGACAGGGTCTGGGAGCACTCGATGGGCACGTTGATGGCGAAGGTGGTGTCGATGAAGGAGGCCACCACGAGGGGGCCCCAGAAACAGAGGAAGGCGAAGAGCAGGATGAGGAGGCCGACGGTGTACTTGACGCAGATGGAGCGCTTCTGACCGAGCGGCGTGGGGTACTCGATCTCGGAGCGGCGCCAACACTTCATCACGAAGACCTTCGCGTAGATGTCCTCCAGTTCCATCCAATGGTACAACGACAGGGGACTGTCCGTCCACATCCAGTCCATCACACTTCGCACCTCGTAGAGGAACGGGGTTATCAAGTACCTGGAAAGTGAGGGAGAGAAAATCCAAGTTAATACGACATGGAGGAGCAGCAGCAGTGTGATTGGCCAGACGTACGCCTTGAAGAGCACCAGGTTGATGTAGTTGTACTTCTTGGTTAAGAAGTTGCCGAGAATGTGGCGTGGGTAGCCACTGCGGATTTGGTAGGCCGAGAGACCGAAGTAAATGCACTTGAGCAAGTAGAGCAGCGCGCGAGCTGGGCCCACATTGAAGGGTCTACAAGGAGGGACGAGAATCCCAGGGGTACACCTCGCTCACTCCGGTTTGACGGGGGAAGGGAGAGGCGGTGTTCGGGGGAGGGGGGGGGAAAGAACTTACGTTAGGGTGATTTGTGGGAGGATGAAGAAGAGCCACACGTGGATGAGTATCACGTTCATGATCTGGAAGATGAATTTGCCCAGGACCTGTTTCCTCAGAAACAGAGCTCGATCCGTCACAATAAAGACCGACTGGATGATGATCATGCCGATGAAAGGACCAGGAATCTGCAAGAAAAATGTTAACAAAAGATATTCCACATAACTGCCCATCCTTCAATGAACGAGAAAAAGGGAGGTTCTTACGCGATTGGTTTTGATGAATTCAAATGCGTTGTCGCCCATTCCAGTCTAGAACGCAGACGAAAAATAACAGTTACTTATAAGGTAATAAGTAGCGATTGCGAATTTGACAAAAGCACGTACACTTGGGCCGAAGGATTGATAGCCAAAAATGATAATCCAAAAGGACAGGAATTCGCAGATGAACATGTAGACGTAGACGTCCACCTTCTGGTTGTAGCGCGGATCGGTCATCTTGAGGTAAAACCGCCGCATTTTCGTCAGTGGATTAAGCGACGAGGGGGATCCGTACTGCGACGTCGACGTCTTTGAATAGCTGCACAGATACGTTAGAAATTACTGTCAAGGCTGGTTTCCAACAAAACCGAGAATTTGGACGGAACTTACGTCGACACAATCAGCTCCTCTCTGGGATTCTGCTGCTGCTGTTGGGCACCGCTCTTCTTCGCCTAAAAAAAGAGGAAAATTACGAGTTTACCCAAATGCCTTCTTTAGGTCAATCATCATTATTCCGAACTCAATCTTGAATTGGCCAAATAATTCAAGCTACTTAATAAATACTAGTAGTAGTGCAACCCGGCAAAACTCACGATGGATTTGTTAGCTTCGCCTGCCTGCAGCAGATCCTGACGAAACTCGGTGTCATCACGCCAGAGGCCGTAGTTCTTGAGATAGCTTCGGTGGAGGAAGATGAACAGGAGCTGAATGAGATCCCAAGTTGCATAGGAGTCGGTCTTCTCGATACCAAAGATACTCGGCAGCCAATGCGTTTTCGCCAGGGTTGCTGACAGTTGGCAGGGTGAATTGAAATCGATGAAGCGGAATTGAAAGATGTACTTGATTATGATGACCAGCTGCAATGAAAAAACGCACACACTAACTACACAATATATAAATAAATAGCGACTGATTTCATTTAAGTAGTTAATTTTTCCTATGGGGTTACCGCCAAGACCACCACAAAGCAGCTCACCTCGGTGTAGGTAATGAGACTAATCCAGAAGGTTTTGGTTGGCCTAGGAACCGAAAGCATGCCCCAGAGAAACACCATCAAGGGATAAACCATGGAGAGCACATTAGCCGATCGCATGTGGTTGATAATGAGGATGGCGTAGCAGACAAGCTCGGAGTGCACGACGATGAGATTGCCGACGGCGATCAACAACAGGAAGAGGCTGGGCCGCGAGCGACGGAAGTCGCGCTCCCGCTGCTCCCACTGACCCTCCGGCCGTCGAACAGCGACGAAAGCCCCCGCGGGTGCCACCGGGACATCGTTGTCTACAACGTCGTCGTCGTCGTCGTCGGAGAAGTCGGCGGTGGCCGCCGACGTCGATGCTGCCGCGCCCGCCGAAGCCGTGGACTTGGTTGCGGCGCCCGTGGAGGTGCTGGTGGTTGACCAGTAGCGCCAGCGACGACCGCCACCACCGCGTTGAGTGCGCGGTTCGCAGGCAACTGTCGGCGCTGTCCGGCCGGGACTCGTGTTGCCAGAGATCACGTCCAACACCACGGACTCCAGCGTCACTCTAAGAAGGCAAAACACGCCGATCGTAACACCGCAAACAGCGGCGAGGGAGAGAGTAACGAAAACAGACAACACGAAGCAACGAGGCACGCATAACCGCAACAAACGACCGCAGCGAACCGAGTTCGGCTGTAGAAGTACTCCGACAGGGAGCTGGGTTCGTCGCGCTGAACGGACACGCAGGAGTTGTGGTTGTCCGCCGGCCTCTCGCCACGGACTCGGAAGGCCCGCAGCAAACGTCCGCCGAAACGCCAACGCCCCGGGACCGCGTGTTCGTCCTCCTCCACCAGCCTACACTCAGTTGAAGTGGCATGAGAGCATGCATAAGTAGCAGCGACAGCGGCGTGTGCTTACCTCGTCTCAAGGGAGCTGCGACTGAAGATGACAAGGGCCTTCTGCTTGACCTTGCGCTTCTCCAGGTCAATGGTCCGGCGAATGCGGCGGTGCTCGCGAGTGATGGTGTTGAGCATGCGCGTAGTCGTCTCGATGGTGGAGAGGAAGAAGATGTGGATCACCAGACAGGCGGCTTTGAAGCGACTCCAACAGCTCTCGTCGCCCTCCTCCTCCTCCTCTTCCCGACGGACCGCTGCCTCGCCTTTGCTCGCCTCGTTCACACCGCCTGCAAGGCCAACACACACGGGCCTGAGATGACGCGGCGCTTTGCGTGTCTGAAAGCGCTACACCCAGAACTCACCTCGAGCGATGACGTCTTCTGAAAACTGTCTCGAGACGGTGGCTGCGAGAGGGACTCGAACCGGCGTGGCTCCCTCGTGTCCAGGAGTCGTCGCGTCGATCTGGTCCACATCCTCAAGTGCCTACAAGTGAAGTCAGTCAAGCGGTTACACACACAACTACGCTGGTAGGCGAAATGACCATCGAAGGCGGAGACTCACGCCTTGTGTCTTCAACAGCATCAGGGGATCGTCGTCAGGCCTGGTTTCCTCGACAGTGCCCTGTTTCAGCAGAAACGGTCTCGCAGCGTGTGACCTCTGGACGCCGACGGCGCTTGCCTAAAGGCGTAAGATGAACGAACAGCCACTCAGTCTACCCACTAGCCAATCGCTGAAACAAGACGTACCCTAGCAGACGACTGGCCGCCGTCTGTGGCTGCAGACGTCGGGAGTTTGCGTGCGTCGGGCTCGGCGGCGTTACCGGTGGACTCGTTTGCCAAGCTGCGCTGGTGGTAGGCGGCGAGGTTGCGTCGGTACTGGCGAGCCGTCGAGCGCACGCCCATCTCCATCGCCTGGTTGATGAGCTGAAGGGGGTTCATATGGGTCTGGGTGGGGTTCGCGTCGTCGTCTTCTTCGTCTTCCTCCTCCTCCTCTAGCTCCTCGTCGTCGTCGTTGTCGGCAACAGTGCCGGGATCCGGTGGGGCGGAGACGGCGAAGGTGACCGAGGGGCGAGTTGTGGCGTCGCGTGCCACAAGGCCGATCTGGAAGGGAGGGATCTCGTGAATTTCGCCCGAAAGCGAATCGGTGAATGCACAAGCAACGTGGCCTACTCACCGACAGCGGTTGAGCAGACGACGACAGCGGGATGACGGGTGGTTGCGCCTCCGCCGCAAACTCGGTGTCGTTCGCGGAGGCGTCTCGCTGGAGTTTCGCGGGCTCAATGGCGTCCGCTGAGGCGATACGCCGGTGTCCGCGGCTGGACGCGGAACGCTTGCTCCGACTAGCAGCAGTCGCACTCACAGGCTCGCCTTGTTTGCGAGGGAGAGACTGCAACTCAATGGCCTCTTCTTGCGTCCCTGGAGCCGCCTGTTCTTCATGCTCCGCCTTTCGGCTACTGGCTGCAGCCGCCTTTTTAGCAGCGATGAACGCCTCCGGATAGGAGGAGAGACGCCGATGGGAGCGATAGCCAGGACGCTGGGGGTGTTGAGTGGCGTGTCGTGGCGGAGAACGCGCATACTCCTCCGACGAAGAGGACGAATAGGGCACCCCGACAGACGCGTATTCCATCGGTGGGCGGACACTGGAGAAACGCGATTTGACTGTCGAGTGCAACCTACGCGAGGGGTAATTGGAGCTACAGTGGGCGTTAGGTTGGAGCCAATAGAAACTCACCGAGCAGGGCTGTAGGGGCAGGTGTAGTTCGACAGCGCGTCCAACTGTCCGGCGCCGATGTTTGGCCAAGCAGCGCGAATATGATGCCGCTGCAGAGACTCACCGCCCTTCGAACCGGCCATTTTCGTCGGTCGGCCGGCACCGGACAGACGTCTGGTGTGGACAGAGCAGTACGGAGCGGAACCACCGGTGCCGCCGCCGTGAGGCGAACAGAACTCCTCCGAATCCCTGTCCTCCTCCTCTGGGTCCCCGTCAAAGTGGTAGTAGTCCCCGGAGCGAATCACTAAACACGGAAAGCGCAAATAACACGATGCCCCTCTGAATAGGGCACACAGGTGGAGATCTGAGCGAGTACGCTACTCACAGATGTAGTGCTCGTTGATGTTGGCCGTGTTCTTGCCCGACTCCTTTTGGTGCTGGGCGATCCTGTCGAGTTTGCGCTGCACCCGCTCGAGGTCGCTTTGCTCGCGGCGATTCTGCTCGCTAATCACCTGCATCAGCTTGCGGTTGATGAGGAAGGCGCCCCTGCAGTGATGGAGGGAAAATAACCGATTACATTTGGAGAAGGCAAGCTATTGGTTCTCTTTTAACGCCGGTGCTTCTGATTGGTCGAGTTACAACGAATTGGAGCGGGTGGGAGAAACGTACCGTGAGGCGAAACAGCTTTGCACACTCAAATCGAAGACCACGTGGCGGAAACTGGCTGTGGTGAAGATCTTGCGTTGAATAAGGATGAACACGAAGCACACCACGTCCCAATGCAGACCATTGGAGACGATCTCGCAGCCGATGTCCGTGGCTACGACGCACAAAGAACGCGAGGTGTCATTTCAAAAGGCGTCCACGCAAAATGATGGGGGGTTGGGGTGGGGTGAGGGTGGGACTTACAGTAGCCGGCGTAGTCATTCCAGCCAACAGGATTCATGCAGGTAACACCGAAGAGCTGAATCAGCCAGCAGATGCGATGACCCACAAGACGGTTCCAGTAGACACAGCCCATCAACTGGAGAGAGCACTTGGCCAGAATGACGCAGAAATTATAACCCACAATCACATTCCACCTAGAAAGTGGGCAATAGAGGCGACGATTACTTCAGAAACACTCCCCAAATTATCGATCATCATTCTGAAAATTCACGAGAAGAGCGCAATCCGTTTGTAAGCCCACGAATTGTTTATCTACAGAGCGCCTTGGACCATAATTTAAAAATAGTAGCAGCCGAGATGCGCAACCACACAGACGTTTTTTTACTCAACATTTATAGATGGCTTTAAAAGTGTTAAATTTTATTTATTTACGGAAGCTGGGACGGTGTGGGGATGTGCGTGACCGACGCTATGTACTTTTACGACCCCGTTAAGGACGGACACGGAAGGAGCAATTACTGTCAACACGAGTGACGCTTAACGAGAAGGCAAAATGCGTGACCTACTTTGTTTAAGCGATCTTAACCGTGGTTAAATTAAGTGCAAGATGAAGGAAAGTAATTGGGTCCAGGTAGCCAATCACTGCCCTGTGGCGAATGTGCCGGTTTCTATGATTGGTTGACTTCTAATCACCACGAAGAGAATATCGGAAGTGTTAGATTTGATTTGGAAGTCGGATTATTTGCTCGAAATCTATTTTTCTATTACATGGTGGAGTAAAATGCAGATTACCGCCTCCATTTGACAAGGTAATCACGATGTAACCAGACAGAAAGAGGCCGGATTTGATTGGATGACCTCGAATCGGAACAGCTGCGAACATGGGAGAGCAAATGAAGTCGAGGTTTCCACAATTATGCAAAAAGCAAGAGCTCTTACGAGGCAATGAGGTTGGAGCGTTTTCGCAGCATCACGTTTTGGCCCATCCAGAGGTAGATGAAACTCAAAATCATGTAGCCGAGGCAGAAGAGGGTGATCCAGCTCACGCCTGTTGCGAAGACAATGGCCAAGCTCATCCAATACGACCAATAGAAAACTCCGTGGCGCAGGTAGTCCAAATAAGACCTGAAAGTTCACACACACACACACGTACACAATGGCTAATTTTGACAAAAAGCCTTGATCTCAGCCAATGAACGTGGTGGTGTCAGAGTCAAAATAGCTTCCTGAGACCGCCAACTCCGCTAAGACCTTTCGAACGGCATTAACCACAACGACGAAGACGTTGACGTAAGGCTACTTAGAATTCAATCGTTCACACGAGTGGAATCGCGAGTTAGCGGAAACATAAACAAACCACAAGCGGAAGGACGCACACTAAGAACGCGTGAAATTGCGTAGTTAGAGTACTTGGACAGAAGTCCAGCTGGAATTTCGCATTAGGCTACTTCGAGCCGAGTGCGCGTTGGCGACCACTTGGTCAACAGCACGGACGCATCTGTTTGCTCTTGGCACGAGGTCAGCCTTTTTTTGTGTTGCAAAACCACTTAGACAAGTAAACACTCGGTGTTGCTCTAAACAGACAAATCGGCCGCGTCGGCAAGACCACGGCGCTCGTGTAAGCCTTGGCAAAAGAACCAACACCTTACTCCTTCGTGCTGATGAAGTCGCGATCGTCTGGACTCGGAAGGGTGTCAGTGAGGACCGGTTTGTTGCTGCCACCGCCGTAGGCTTCCCAATCCGGCCGCTGTTCCAGCTTGAAGACGCGCCACTGCGTAGCAACCAGCACGAATTGTAGGAAGTCGACTGGAAGGGAAAGGCGCAGGAGCCATAGCCAACAAACACATATTTTAGAGAAATGGTATAAAAAAGGCGGGTAAGGAAAGGCAGGGCTAGCCCAGGTAGAATATTTTCTTGTGAGCCCTTGATCTGTGTGGCATATCCACGCCCTGAGGACACTTTGTGGAGTAATTCCTGCCGTGAGTAAAGTATCAATCATACCGCAAACTAATGGTGGGCGTTTCTTGATCATCACATTTTTGATCGAAGTCAAGTTTGCATCGCTAGTGATGACTCCTTTCAAAAAACCGAACCCCCTTCACCTCGTGCGGAACCCAAATTGTTCAAGTCATTTTAATCGATTTTCTACGGCTACATGTGGCACTCATTAGCCCCTCTGCAATCTTTCATCCTACGTGCACTAGAATAGAGATTTGTCCAATGTTGTATGGCACAAATTATAAACAAAACACACAGTCATCTATTTGTAAAAACTGCCGTGGAATAGCTGATGAGGTAGACACATTTTCCCAGCGTAGAAAATGGTTTTTGAGCTAGAAATATTGTGAGTTAGGCAGGACTCCACAGCACAAATGCTTTATTCCTCGGTGGTGATTCAAATACCATGAGATATTGTAACGACCAATCAGCTTTGGGAATGTCGGAAGCACAGCTACGCTCAGCAATGTGCACCAGTAATGGCTTAGTGACTAAACGAAATTTCGCAATGTATGACGGGTTCAGTGAGAGAGAGGAATTCGCAACTGCGAAGAAGAAGTTGATGCAATACAAAAACGCTAGGTTGATTCACGTGGTGCAATGCCACAGGTTGCACGAGAAATGAAGTCGGATGCCTGGTGTGCGCGCGTGCGTGACGATGAGCGGTATTTCCTGGGAGGGGGGCTGAGGTCAAAGCAGAGCAGCGAATCGCGTGACAGTGGCAGTGCCTTGGTCGGGCCAATCAGAAACCACTTCTGCAGAGAACCCTGATTGGCGGGCGCCCGCCCGTGAGCATCCAGTGGCAACCGAGGGTTAGTGCAAGGCAAACACGCAGAGCGTGGGACGACAACAGTAGCGAGACGGTAGCAGCCCGTGTTGAGTCCACGGGTGATTGGGCTCGGGCGGGTCAAGGGGGCTTACGCAATCAACAAGACTTACCAATGAGCTTCCGAGGGTCTGGCTGGTGCGACGTGGAGGGCAGAAAGAGCCACTGTTGGAGGCGGATGGTCTCGTTGTCTGAGGAGTCCCAAGGCAGGGCTAAACGCACCAGAAATGGTTACAAGTGAGACGCACAGGCCCTGTTTGTGGGGCCACCAACGCACAACACAAAAACACATGTGCCAAAGCAGCTATGTTCTAGCACACACACACACACACACGACACACGTGGAGGCAAACAGTCAGTGTCAGGGTGCGCTGAAGGCTCAACTAAGTCGGCATTTTGACTGCGAGGACACAAACATGGAGACGCATTAGAGTAGCAAACACCAGAATAGATTCACTACAGAGGCGCTTGAATTGACGCCAATTGTGGGTAAGCAGGGGGTGCAAGTGTTGACCCCGAGTAGCCCCGCGCCACAACACCAAAGACCTCCATGACAAAGCAATGAACACGTAAATCAAATTGGTGAAAAGAGGTGAAAGAGTGACAACGTGGAAAAGGTGGGAGGTGTTAACAAAGGAGAGACTACCAGAATCCATTAATGCAGGCAAATGGATAGCAGCTGGATTGAAAGGGATTAGGGGTAGGTAATGCGAATGAAAACATGTAAGGGTGTTGGCTGCTACCACGAGGTTAGCTAGTGAAGCCCCTGCTAATCGATATACAACCCCTCCAAAACACTTGGACTACAACGAATGTTCAAGGAATAACCTACACTGCACGAGGATGGAGGGGATTTGGGAGCAGGCAGCGTATTGGACGACGAGGAGCACGCCGAGAAAGATCACGTAGGCCGGCCAGAGACGTGAGCACACGTCGCGGTGACTGAAGAGGAAGATGAGCATCAGGAGGAGGTAGAGGACGCTGAGGGCGTCCACGCGGATGCAGGCTGCAATCACCGTCGCACAGAAGCAGATCTAGGGCAAGATAGATGGGAATCTACGAGAAAAAGTGCGGGGGGAAGGGGAGGGGTGGGCAGGGTGGACTTTTGCCTTCTCACATGACAATGAAACGCGCGGATAGCACGCACACCCAGCGCGTGCAAGTAGGCGCCGCCGCAACACAAAGGCGGACTACAAGAGAGAGGACGAGGGTACAAAGCGAAGGCGGCTACGCGGTAACCGGAAGTAGCAGGTTGAAAGGACGCGCTAGGCAATAAAACACCACTGCCTCGCGCTTAATCCCACCATCAACCATCTCGGACGCACGGATAAAGTGGAGAGGGAGAAAGAAAAAAGAAGCGTAGTGTACCTCAAGCCCCAGCTTGTAGAAGGTGTAGTTGGCGACGCATTTGAGGAAGTTGAGGATCTTCTCGTTCATCGTGCTCAGCGACATCTCGGGGAAGATGATGCCCGACTTGGGCCGTGTGGAACCCGCCTTGCGGTAGAACTGCTCCTGGCGCAGCCTGATCACGTGCCAGAAGACACAGGCGACAATGAGCAGTGCAAGAGGCTGCAGGGGTGAGAGCGTGGAGATCGGATTAGTTGGGTCTCGAACCGGAGTCCACACGCCAGTACAAATTAACTAACCGTGATGTACTTGGGGAAGTCCTCGACCACGTCCAGGCCAATCCACTTGCCAGTACCGTTGGGTAAAAGCGAAGTTATCTAGAGCCAGACAAAAGAGGTGTGAGGTGGTGAACACAAGACACCGGATTTTACACGCCAGGGTTGACTTACGCTGGACTTTGGTTGAACTGGGTTCTGCGGTGCACCGGATGCCAGCATGCTCTCGTGCTCGGCGTCCGAGATGATGTCGAGTTGGAAGAGCATCTTCATGACAATCTGGAGGCCGGTGAAGCAGAAGATGAAGGTGACGAGAAGGCCGTGAAGGAATGGAAACGGAAAGCAGACCACAACAACGACCACGGGGACGATGTTTGTGATGGTAACCTGCAGGGCAGAGCATTGTGGGAAGAGGCCAAAGTACACGGGTTGGATATTTTGCAAACAAATAGAGAGAGAGAGAGAGTTGACAGAAAAAAAACTTGGTGTGTCCGGAATGCGTGTCAGCAGTGTGCTGGTGGCACAAACGGCTGCGCTAAACCAAATAGCCAAATCACAGCGCCAATCACTCTGTGGTCGATGGCTTAACGTCAACAAGGGACACACCTACACACGATGCAGTGACAATGAAAGCGCTGAGGCAACAGGTGCCTCAAACCTACCTCCTTGATGACGGAGAACATCAGAAGGAGGCAAACCACTTTGATCCAATAGACCTCGGCGATGCGCCACGCGACAGTTCGCGATCTTTCAACGAACTTGCAGAGGTAGGAGGTCACCGTGTTGAACACCGAGTGGAAATCTTCAATAAAATCTAGGGTGGAAAGGGGGGGGAGAATGACCGGATTTGAGAGGTGAACAAGCGGAATCCTCAAGTAATTAATCATTTTGGATAATTACTTGATTGGGTTTCGAAGGAGTCGTTGTAGGGTGGCTGGACGGGAGCCGATGGCGTGTGGACGGCGTACGACCTGTCAAGGCGACCAGCATCGCTGAAACGCAAATTATGGATGACATGTAGAAGAATTGGGCCAATCGATGAAACGGAAAACAAGGCAGCCAAGCGATAACTGTCAAACAATGTGATTCTGACACGAACTCCGATTGGGCGACCTGACGAGACGCGGTTGCTATGTGGGATCACAGAAATCAATCGATTTGCAAATAAATATGTATAGTCCAATCTTTTGCTATGTGGAATTTCGGAGTAAATTTTAAAAACGAAGACAGTGGTTAGGTTTCAGAAGCTAAATTGCGGTAAATTTTAAGTGAAGTGCTTGAAGTCGAGGTTAGAGCTGAAACCAGTGCATAGGGCCTTGACCACACTTCGAATGCGCCAGTAAATTGATATAAGGTCACCCATTAGAGGCCAAAGTGCCTCCCCCCGACCCCAGCCAGGGACTTAAACCTGCCAATCAACACTTCCGATGTAGCAAATAATCGATTTTCCATGTGTCTGTCTCTGATTGGTCGATGTGCTCAAGCGGCACATCGGAACCATGCTTCAATTTTACACGGGCTAAATTTGTACAAAACAAGTAAATTTATCAATTTCACGAAGTCGTATTACCACAGACGCCTTGACAAGTCATTGCGCATCGGTTTCCACATTGGCAAATAACCAAAGGCCTGATTTGTAATCATTACGGGAGAACATTGCTTGATGAGTTAGTTCTTCTTGCTGAGATGTGCTTCCATTTGACTAAACTAGACCAGATTTTGACGAAAAGACGGCTCTATTTGACGAGACGGCCAATCAGACTTCGAAAAGCAACAAGAAATGACCATGGGATAAATAAAGGCGATTTTTTCCCCATAGCCCAGTGCAAACGCCATGCTTCTGACGTGCTGACTTCTACACAAATCAAATCGGACTTCAGCTTTTGCATCACAACACGATTCCCGCACTCAGTCCACTGGCTTTGTAATCGTTTCTACGTCACAAAGGGGGGCTTTAATGCGGATTGTTTGACACTTAGAAACAGCTAGCACCTTATGAACTGGCAAATTTACGACAGCAGCCTCAAAAGCACAACACACGGTACTAATCAATGCAGTCATGAGAAATATGACCTTCAAAAGGGCACATTTTGGGGAATTAATGGATTGGACCGCATAACTTGTCAGGAAGTTCGTGTAACAAACTAAACTAAGGCGATTTGAAAGAAATAAAGCCCGCAGAGAGTTTAAGGCTATGGTAGCCGAGTTTTGCAAGGCAAAATTGTCTCACGAACCGGTATCTATCCAGAGAGGAGGCTTCAAGGAATGGCTGGTGGAAGTAGTGCATTTGGAGGATGATGATGACGATGAAGGCAACCGGCATCATCAGGCGGTCGAAGAGTTCAGCGCTATCAAACTGTTCCAGACCAATGGCCTTGAGTCTGGGAAATCAACCAATCAGAAAAAAGCGAGACGCATTATTAAGCATTAGGAAACCGATACCAAGTCACTTGCTGCTAGGAAGCACGTACACTTGTGGACTGAGGCCTGTGCCGTTTTGCCAGTAGAATGGGAACGAGGTGAACTGGTAGGTGTAGGTGCATAGGAGGACCGCGATAGAGTAGATAATGTATACCCACCAGAAGGTGAGCATTTGCTTGCGCCAAAATCGATAGCTCACCTAAAAGAAAGGCGGGGGGGGTAAGGTGTTGGGGCCAGTGGGGGCTTGTGTGGTTCTTCCTGAGATCGTTCTACGACCGCCCTATCAGCTACGATGCACACTAAGCGACGTGGGAGTTGGCCGAGCAAACGAAATGTCGCTAGAGGTCCTAGTTTATGCCAGTGCCAAAATTGAGGTTGGAAAAAAGCACTTAAAGCGAGAATTAGAGGTGGGGTGGTGACAGAAAGTGAAGTAGCACGATGCAGCACCCTGATAACGACACGCTAGTGGGTTTAATGCAAGTTCTCTGCTTGAAAAGCATGGCCAAAGTGCGCGAGAATTCGAGTGGCCTTCACAGGCAGTGAATCACGTCGATTTCAAGCAAGTTTACGGTTTAGCACGAAGCCCCACGCCCAATGTCGGCATGGCCTTAACCGACTGACTAGTTCGTGTCTGATTGGTCTGTTAGCCAGCGTGTGTTCACACGCAAAACCCACTAAGTACACTTTCTGCTACGCCATACAATCACATACACACACACACACACCTCTGACGTACACACAGTTGGTTGTCGCCCGCATATGCTACACATGACGACGACAAAATCTTTTGGTAGGTGCGTGGAAATGAGGTGCTAAGCGTGCCTCGGACCTCGAAGCAAACACAAGCGACTGTTACGCTTCAGAGGGGCAATTACCTCATTCGGCTGTGACCAATAGGAGTAACGGTCACAGATTATAAATTCAGCGCAAACGGAGCAAATGCACGCACTCACGCACGCACACTTAAGGTCACGCATTAGCTAGCCAACATGGAGGCATAGTGCTGATGGCCACGCAATTGTAGCCTGCACCTTGGCTTTACGCCACGATCTACCGAAGACGTCAAGTTCTCGAGTCGAAATACGCTGGGCGACAAAATCCGCATTACATGCTTTCACAGTTAATTGCGCAGAGGAGAATCTCGTGTGATAATGCAGTTTAGCAGATATGAGAACTTGACGAACAAGTCTGGGTGCAGTATTTTAATACCAAGATGAAAGCCTGAAGAGCTGAAGATCCCGTTATAAGTGACGCCAAAACCACCAAAATCTGGGTTTTTTTCAGTGCCCCAATGACTGTGTGATTAAGGTATGACGTAATCTTATCAATTGTTTATAAGAGTTTGTTTGCGCGAGTTGAATGGAATCTGGTGCGAATAAAAACACAGTACGGGAGCCCTTGCATGCAACAGGTTGTGCGCGACTGATTGCTCATGCTGAGTAAGCGCAACCCAAGCAGATGTCACGGCCTCTCGAGGTGTGCGTGGAAGTAACCAATAGAAAGAGGCTGGTAGTGTGTGGAAAATCAGCAAACTGATTGGCTGAAGAGGTGGCGCACAATGGACATTGAGGCAGTACTTACCATGAACACAGTGAAGAAGTAGAGCAGCAGGACCATGTAGACGACGCGGAAAATCACAACGGGTCGCCGAAGCGAGAAAAGCAGCATCGTGAGGCAACATAGCGCGATCCAGTAGCGGACGCACAGGCGGTGCAGAAATATAGCTAAAACATGAGGAAGAATTTCCATCATCTGCCGATGGCTAACAGCGGCAGATTGAAACTGACCAATAGAATGGCGCGTAGCCATACGCACACACACACACACACACACAATTACTTACTGAATTTCCGATATCGGACATTATCGACGACGGCGATTCCATAATCGCTGGAGGTGGAGTCGTCGAGACCAAGAGACGAAGCCACAGCCGCGGTGATCGTGACATGCTCGTTAAGCGGATCATTGTCAGGCAGGTGCTGCTGCTGCCGTACTGAATTGAACGAGGCGACAGTGGAGTGGACGTGGGTTGTCACACGGTCCCCGACAGTTGTGGAGGTTGTATTTGCCTGGCCCACATTACCCGATCCCTCGTGGTCACTCGAAGCGGCATTTAACAGAGCTCGACTCACACGAGACGCCTTTTCAAGCACAAACAACCGCAGGTTCAGCCAAAAGAAGATGAGGAATGTGAGCTGGGATCAAAAAGGCGAGAAGGGGGTTAAAGAGCAGGACCCACGTGACTCCAAATAATCGATGTTTGGAATGAACAAAGCGATTACCTGTAGTGCGAGAGGCCACACAGGTACGGGCCAGCGATGGAGACCAATCTCGGTGAGATTAATGGCCTTTTCGGGCAGGTAGGTGGGCAGTTCGGCTTCGGTGAGGTTGAAGCAGTAGATGTACTGGAGGAGGATTATGCACATGCCGTAGGCGACAATGAGCGGGCTGAAACACAGGCAGGCCATACGGGAGTTGGGCAGAATCCACAGGAGGCACGCCGACAGCAGCAGTATGAAGGAGAGCCAGCTGCGAAAGATCACACTCCACGCCTACAAAAACACGCCAACAAAAAAAACTGCATAGAAAATGCCTCCACAAAGCTGAGATTTGGTCCCAGAAGTGGTGAGAGCAAGAGGTGAGTAGGGGGACATTTCCAGCGACCAGCCACTTACTCCACAAAACCAAAAAAGCAACGATTTGTCCATGCATTGCCTAATGCCCTACTTATTTACTGTTTATCGATCAGCGGGCACAGGACGGAATGCACAGAATACATTAAGCGGCAATTTGACTCGTTAATTCAGCCACCTAGTTAAGTTTAAAAGCCCTATCAAATAAACCGGGTAACGTAGCGGCGTACCATCATTGCGATAAAGGTTAAGATGTAGCTGTTTCGGATGGCAGAGTTGAGGAAGCTCAGCAACAGAGGTCGCTGAGTGAGAGGTGAAAAGAAGTTGGCATCTTCGGTTACCAGGATGCCCCCGTGCCTGAATCTGGAGGTTGCGATGAAGGGGAAGACGTCGTAGACGGGCTGAGAGCGCTCGGCCATGGAGTTGCGGTTGATCTGGGTGACGTCGTTCATCGACACCCTCGCTGCGTTATTCACCTCATTTTCATCACTCTGACCAGGGACCTGAAAAGAACAGTTGTGGAAATCTTAGAAACGCGGACAAATGGTTCAGTGGGAACCACACTTTGTGCGTGGTTTCCAAAATCACAAGCAACAACTGTAATGATGTGTCTTCGCCATGGTTCACATGAGTTTAAGTATATGAATTTGGATGGAGGCAACCGTATCAGTTTTGAAAATACTTGAGTTCAAAAAGGAAGCTTGGAAAGGTGGGCTTACAATCGTTTCTGTCGTGGGTGGATCATCCAGATCGATGAGCATGTGATCAGCTGGTGGCTGATTGGTGGAAGAGAGGGGATCGAGTGTGTTAGAGGACCTGTCTGGACGTCCAGTCTCGGTAGTGCTCAGAAGAAGAGGCTCGCTGAGACTAGTGGAGGGTTCTTGGTGATGAATTTCCTCAGCTGCTGCCACCAGTTGTTGGCGCTAAAACGCATAACAAGATGCGATAAGGGGGTAGTGAGTAACGGATAATGATTGGGTGTGAACACAACGAACTGTAATACCTGACGCTGGATCATCGATTGGCGATGAGCAGTCGATAGGTTGATGTTTCGTACCAATACCTGTAACAGCGTCAAAAAATGAAATACACACTGGATAATGAATGCTCGTCGTCAATGCTCCACAATAGAAAAAATTGGCACAAAAAAACTAAGCGTGAGGAGAATTAGGAAAAGTATCTAAATTAAGGACGAAAGACGACAATACCATTAAAATATAACCGAAACCTACCGATGTGACCATTTTTCGATTATGTTCAGCATCAATATGAGTCAGAATTTCTGCAGCAACTGCCAAATACACCAGTATAACTGCCAGTGGGGCAAAGAAAACGAACAGAGGTTTGTCAGTGGGAAAAATTACTTCCCCAGGTTGGGTACAATTTTGACGAATTAGATAATTGAGCCCGAGGAGCCTAAAGTCATTACATTATACCTTAAAGTGGCCCAACAACTTACCTCGCGGTAAAGGTCGAATCATCAAGAATTACCTGAGCATACTCAAATTGGTACAGATAGAATACGCACAGATGGAGTCCGCTATATATGAGAAGGACAACTCGAGTCCAAGCAAGCTTGTGGTTGTACACTGTTTTGCATGACGACCAGTATGTGCAAGTGACGTAAAAACTGAGCAAATAAAAAGCCGATAACAGTGAGGGCACAATGACCCCGGCGGCGGCAACCAAAACCACCGTTAGTGCATGAAGTATCCATGCGTTCGGAAAATTTACGACAGGCGTGAGTGTTTGCACAAAAGGCGCACGATCGGCTGGAACGTCATTATTCAAGCCACCCTGAGATTCTCCAAGGTCTACATAGGCTTGCGATTCATCATTTTCTACAGGTGGAACTGGATGTAAACTTTCAGCAAGATCGTCATCTGAAGCATGAAATGTGGGCCTGTTCCTCCTTTTCCAGAAATATGCAATGGCAATAACGCCGATTAGAAAAATAACTGGATCTGGTGCAACCAATCGCATTGCCCGATAAACCCGCATATTAAGCCTAAACACGAATTAGGATTTAATAAACATACTTCTGGACGCCAATTGCGGATGCAATTTTTGAAGCACAAGAACCTACACAATAGAACTCAAAATCGGTATGCTTACAGTTCGATAAAAGTTCATTATAAGCCGGCTTGATTAGAATTAAGATATACAGCACTGGATGTGATAGTGAGAAGATGGCACTTAGTGCCACTAAGACTACGAGAAACACCTTCAAAGATGCTAGACAACAGTTAGGTTATGAAATATGTCAAACCGTTGGAATGAGTTCTATTCTCATATCGTAGGAAAGGCGAGGCCAGGAACAGGAGGAAATAAATAAACGAAAATAGATTGTAGCGAACCGTTGAAGCTATTATATTAACAAACGAACACACAGATTACCGATAAATAGTCCACACGGGACAATAACACGCAGAAGGAAAAATTCGTAAGAAAACGTGACCATGTCTCTAACTCACGATACCTTCATCGGCACGAACTCAGACTAACAGGAATACCCAATAAAACCCAACCAATAGGACGAAAGAGGCAACTTTTTGTATTGTCTAGACATCAAGGTTTGGCATATAAGCCCAATAAAACAAGCGGAAAAAAACTTCTTTTTGTGAATAATAAAGTAACAGTGTTGCAAAAATTAGGCTAAGATAAGAACAAAACATTTTGCTATTAAAAACATAGAAGAAAAATATTTTCATGCCATCGAACTTATGCCAAGAATTTCAGCATTCGTCATTTAAAAAATTCAAAATATAATATTGCCTAATTTGCAAATAAATCTGCCCTACATGCTTAAAGATGTTATTTGTGCATTTCAATATTAATATTACCATTAAATTAACCAACATAGACAACAAGTCATCTCCAGGTATAAAAACTCTTCATCGTTAATCCGATGGAATGCCAGGATTTAGCATAAATTTATTACCAATTTAGATACTTTCGATGTCACAGCCTTAACAAATTGATTTCTTTAAAGAAAAAAACGTTTAACCATCTCTGAATTTTTCGCAAGGTTTATTGAATTAGCGCCATGGCGAGCATTCCTTTTCGTGAGATTGCAAATGTCGATTTTTCCACATTATACCCTGTAATTTTTTAAACTTATACATAAATTCTCACACGTTCAATTTGTGTACAAAGCTTGTTTGCTGGTTCTCACAACCTTGTTTATGAGTTTCATGTAATAAACTTGCGGTTTTATCGGTTTAATTGTCTTCTGCTAATAAAAATTAGACCTAAACTTTGCTTATGCAGTATCGTTTTCTATAATTGGTCTAAAATTAGTTCTTGTGATGCTACGATTCCTTGCGAAACGTCTCAATGGACAAAGGTAGAGGCTTGTTAGGGAAAATTTATTAGCTTAAACAGAGAAAGCAAATGCATACAATCTGACAGAGTCGTTAGCTTTGATTTTCCAGATCGTGCTTTGAAAATTACGGGACTAATATTATCCACAGTCTTAAACACAACAAAGGACAAATATGCTAATCGGTAAAAGAGCGTCAGTGAAAAATACACTTATATTATGAACACGTAGATAGAACAAAGTATCATATGATATTTTAAAACGAGAATTTGTGGAAATACTTTTGCTTTTAGGAATCGTACAAAAATAAATTGATTAAACCATAAATAAAGATAAGAAGCTGGATGGCGCAGTGCGTGGTGCGCATGACAATGGTCTTATTGAACGTTAGAATTAGACATTGGATCCTCAATTTCGGGCACAGTGGATCAATTCAAGTTTAGGATCAAGTTGGCTGTTGAGAATGGCCAAGGAAATGCTAAATAGCTTAAGGAAGGGTATGATGCATGAGAGATTTTGGCTTGAGTTTGAACCACTGTAATTGAACCAGTGTTAAGGTCGCCGAGCAATTAAGTAATTACAGCGGAAGGGATAGAAATGGTGAAGCCAAACTAAATAGATAAATTGGTAAGGTTCATTCAGTAAAGAAGGGATAGATAATTATTGGTTAATGTCAGGATGTTGTTTGGTATTTTATTATCTCAATTTGCGAATTTTCTCTTATTGTGTCGGAGGCGGTTGAACGAAAGAGGAAATTGTAAAAAGGTAATGGTTTTTAAGTTCACGGGTAAAAAATCATTAAAAACCCATTGTTGGACAGGTGGATAGTAGAGCGGACAATGAAATAAAAGCTGCTCGCATATGTCGTTTTTTTCATTTTTGAAGTAAACTTAAAATTTTGCATTAATCTAAGACGTTGGGTCTTTCCTTTTGGTCACTGCAAAGTGTAGTGAGTAGACGTTGAGTTTATTGTTGTGGAAGTCAAAATTTTGTCCAGGTTACCTTATCAAGGGTAAAAGAAATTTCTGTGTAAGCTTGTGCAAAGGCCGCACAGCATGGCGCAGAAAAATATCTGCAGGATTGAGAAACATGCGTTGCCTTGCTAAAAGGGAATGTTATAACAGAGAGCATTTTTTCTTTCTCTATTCTCACAGGTAAAATGTTTTTGACTCTTTTTTTCATTTATGTTGCCGAAGGTTTAGTCAGCAGCTCTGTTTTTGAAAGCATTTGTAGCTTATCCAATTAGTTGTGGTAGATAGTACAGTAATGTTACGGACTGCAGCAATTTCATTTAGTGAGGTTCGTAATATCTCCGGTGGGCTTGCGGGTAATGGAGGTAGAACAGAAGGTCTGTGTTTGCATGTTAACTGATTTATGATTAATTTGGTTGGAAGTGAAAAAAATCAAAGGTTTCATGTCACCTATTGCAGAAATTTTAGTGCTAGAAATTGATTTAATGCAGAAATCTTGAGGACCTTACAGAAATCGTAGAGGCTAGGAGGCTGAGTATGGGGTCCGTTCCCGATGTCATTAAGGTCGACCACTATTTACATATATGTGCTTATGTGGTTGAATTTGTCTAGATATATTTGTCCAGAGCAAAGCGTAGAGAACGTTACTTATGTATTTGAAAAGAAAAGGATCATAGTTTCAAGCGGGTTTGTACTAATGTGAGCCTATGTAAAGGCAAACTTAACTGGAAGTGGAATGTTATTTGTCAATATTTCCGAATATGTCTTTAATTTTTACTTTAATTTTATTAAATCACAAATGCAAAATATATTTTTTGTGAACTACGTAAGGTAATTAATGCTTATGCTTACTTCCACAGATACTCTTGGTTAAGTGCGTGTTTCAATGTTAGCTCACCTGATATTGAGTCAAGTGCGCGTTATTTAATATTTGTGGCTCAAGAAATGGCTGCGTCTCGGTTCCGTAATTATGATGAAGATAAAGTTGAAATAGAGAAATTTCTCCGAGAATTTTACAAATCAGAGCCTGATGGGAAAAAATATTTTCCATACTTGGAAAGCCTGGTATGGATTACTTAGCTTCCTTGTATTTTAGACTAAACTTGCTAATCGGAGTCAAAATGTAATACGCATTTCTCTGGATGACTTATGGGATTTAAACGAAGACCTTGCCAAAGCCGTCGAATTGAACACTAAGCGCTATCAAAAGTTTTTCTCTGAGGTGATCGATGGTCTTCTACCTGAATTCCGCGATGGAGAGGTTTTAATTCTTATCTTATCTTACGTACTTCTAGGCTCAAATTCGTGATGTGTTAGACATTTTCATTGACCATAGAATTAGAATGGAACAGAGGATGCATGCTGCTGATGTTGAGAATATTCCCGTGCCCGTGGGCCAAAGAAATGCGGTCCAGGCTTCCAATGATTTACGAGAAATAAGGGCCAAATTCCCACCAGAGCTTTTAAGGCGATTGTATGTCTCGATTTAAATGTCAGTTATTCTACCGATCCTGTCGATTTATGCGTGGCTTTTTGCATATTTAGTGAGGTGTACTTTACGGCTCGATCGATATTTAAGCCCGTTGGTGTTCGCGCTGTTATGGCGTCAAGCATCGGACATCTTATTCAAGTTCGCGGAATTGTATCCCGAACAACTGAAGTGAAGCCGCTCTTACGCGTTGCTACGTATACTTGTGATCGATGTGGTGCCGAAACTTACCAGGTATTTTATTTATGTGGTTCAACCCCTCACCTTTGCCGACAAAATGTAACACCGCTTCCACCTTTTAGGAAATAACTAGTCCATCTTTCATGCCCCTAATGTTGTGCCAAACTGCTGCTTGTAAAGGTGTCGGGGCTGGAAGTGCAGGCCAACTTCACCTCCAAACACGTGGATCCAAATTTCTCAAGTTCCAGGAAATTCGCATCCAGGAGCTCTCTGACCAGGTTCATTAGTTTGCAACCATTATCCCACTTAATGACGCATTTTTTACGTCATCTATTTTTTTTTTCAATGCAGGTTCCAGTTGGAAACATTCCTCGTGGCCTCACGGTCTATGCGCATGGCGAGAACACACGGCTGGCTCAACCGGGAGACCACGTCCTCGTAACTGGAGTCTTCCTACCATCCGTTCACGGTACCGTTGGAGCAAGGATGGCAACTGCCGCTGGTGGTGGGACTACTGCACTTCTGGCTGATACGTACTTGGAGGCTCACCAACTCGTACTCCTAAACAACAGCGATTCAGTGCTTGACGTTGAGCCAACGGAAGAGGAGATGGATCGTCTGTCTGGTAAGTTCTCAATCATTTTACTCAATGTTTGACATTTAAGGACTACAACTGTCCAGTTTTTTTTTCTAGACCCTGACACGTATAACCTGATGGCTCAGTCGTTGGCTCCAGAAATTTACGGTCTCGAGGATGTCAAAAAGGCTCTTCTCTTGCTTCTTGTCGGAGGCGTCGAAATCATGCCGCAAGCTGGTCTCCGAATTCGTGGTAACATCAACATCTGTCTAATGGGTGATCCTGGCGTGGCCAAGTCCCAACTCCTTGGCTTCGTCAATCGCCTCAGTCCCCGTTCTCAGTACACCACGGGACGTGGTAGTTCTGGCGTCGGCTTAACTGCCGCCGTTATGAAAGATCCATTCACAGGTTAAATCACGTTTTACCCATAATTCTTATCCCTTGCTTTTCGTCGTAATTGGTCTATTCTGTTTTGTCGTCACAGGGGAGATGACGCTTGAGGGTGGGGCTCTGGTTCTAGCAGATCAGGGCGTTTGCTGCATCGACGAGTTCGACAAAATGGCCGAATTTGATCGGTATGAGCTTGGGGTCTTTGTCTGCTTAGGTAGCATCACGCAGGGGCCGATAATTGCTTTTTTTCACTTTAGTACCGCTATTCACGAAGTAATGGAGCAGCAGACTATTAGCATTGCCAAGGCCGGTATCCTCACAACGCTTAATGCACGAGTTGCACTCCTTGCTGCCGCGAACCCTGCCTACGGCCGTTACAATCCTCATCGCACGGTAGAGCAAAACATCGATCTGCCAGCTGCTCTACTCTCGCGTTTCGATCTCTTGTGGCTTATCCAAGACCGCTCTGATCGGTAAGCCCGTTTACCTCTCGTTGTTTGGTTTTTACTTAAAACCTAATTAGTAGTTGCCCACTTTATCTATGCCCCATCACGTACCAATGTTGATGATAGTCTTGGTGTTAGGCTTATTCACGAAACTCCATGAATGAGGAATAATGCGGTCATTACAATGCTAATAGAGGCCGAGTTCATACGATGCCAGTATCAGTAATTGAAGTGGGTAGAGTGCTGTAATTATACCTATCACGTTTGCTCGGATTGCAGCGAGAATGACCTTCGCTTGGCTCACCACATAACCTACGTGCACACGCATGGCTCGGCGCCGTCCTCCCTAGATTCTACGACCAACCACAGCGGTCCAGCGGGCACGCAGATTCTCACCCTCGACGAGCTCCGACGTCTGATCGGCGTTGCGCGTGCCCAACCTGCCCCCTCGGTGCCCGCCTACCTTGCCGACTACCTCGTCGGGGCCTACGTCGAGATGCGCAAGGAGGCTCGTGTCAACAGGGAGATGACCTATACTAGCGCACGGTAACTACCCAAATCGCTCATTATTTCGGTTGCAGCAGTTAGTCTGAGTGTTAATTTGCATAGCTGTTGTCACCTAATTGTGTATTCTTGGCTGCGTGTGCTCACCTTCCTGTGTGCATGTAGTTTCTGGCGTTCTGGATAGACACGTGTTCTGCCCTTTGTTTCCACGATAGTACGCTGCTGGGGATAATGCGTCTCTCCACGGCGCGCGCGCGCCTACGCGGTGGCACGGAAGTCACCAAAGCCGACATCGACGAAGCCATGCGACTGATGGAGGCCAGCCGCGCCTCCGTCCACAACCCAATCGGTGGCCCACGTGATCACAATCGGTAAGTGAATGTTCTGTGGGGCCTCTCGTAAAGGCACGTGAGGCATTTTGAGGTTCTGGATCTTCCACAACGTTACCCTTTACCGCTAACCCCCACCACTTGCCCCTCTTGCAGACCAGCTTCATACAAGGACAACATCTACCAGGTCATCCGTGATCTGCTCTCTGCGGGTGGCGGTTCGACTCGCCTCGCTGACATCATGGAACGGTGCGCAGCCAAGGGCTACACGCCCGCCCAGGTGAACGAGGTTGTGGACGCGTATGAGAACTTGAATGTGTGGCAGGTCAACATGGGCAGGACCCGTTTGACCGCTGTGGTGTGATTTGTGGATTTTCGTTACTAATATGATGACATTGTGTATTTTTGTACTAAGCTAACACATATTTGTGTAAATGCATGCCTACTGTGTGTCACAGTGTGTGTTACAACGCTCCGTCTACAGACGTAGGGTTGGCTGGGGACTCCCTTAAACAAAGCGTCCATTGTATAACTGCGAAGAACGAGAGGATGCGGAAGTTGCTTCGCGAGTGAAAAGTGTGCCAGCCAGTGTAGGGTCTGGTGTGTTCGTGGTG